GCTAACAGTGGTGGAGTGCCAGTGAATGCACACTACGGCTACACACATTACCTGAAACTTGTACATCAAACTCCCTCTCCACAGAGCCTGCCTTGCTAGTGGCCTTAAACTTGTACAATCCAGAATCTTCTGGGACAACTTCCGTAATTTTCAGCATATGCGTGTCCTCTCTGACAGAAACATGCAAATGCTCATCCTCTTTGACTTTTTTGTCATCTTTCAGCCATTCGACTTTCAGTTCTGGTTCGCTTTTTCTCAGCTCTGCACTCAAACTGACGTCACCTCCCTCTTCAGCGAAAATTGGGGCACTTTCAACTTCGTCAACAAACGCAAGGGCAGTCAGGGTCTCTTGCACAAAAATGTTGGCCTCACAGAATACCTCACCTTCTTCATTATATGCCAAACATTCGTATTTTCCAGCATCTTCTAGTTTTACGTCCTCAATGATCAGTGAGGAGCGCCCTTCGTCTTCCTCATATTCATCATCCAAAAAAGTAAATCGCTCCGCTGGTTCTTCCAATATCTTACCGTCTTTCGTCCAATCAACTTGTGGCCTGGGTACTCCAGTAATAAGCACATCAAACCTGGCTTGCTGCCCAGCCTGAACACTGACATTCTTCATTCTCTCTTTGAACTCCGGTTTTGCAGCTGGTTTGTTTACAAGAAGTTCAGCCCAGCAAGACACACTGCCAAACGCATTCTGAGCAACACATTTGTAGTCACCTTCATCATCAAGTTTAGTCTCTTTGAAATTCAAAGAGAAGGTTTCATTATCGCTTAAAAACTGTGCGCGCTCGCACTCCTTCACCTTTTCGTTGTCTCTAAGCCACTCTACCTCTGGCTTGGGCTGTCCGCTTATTTGACATTCTAACTTGGCAGGGAAACCTTCAAGAACCTGAACAGATTTTGAAGGTTCCACAACTTCGGGTGCTTTTCCTTCCAGGCTCTTTTCTGCAAAACAATGAGAAATGAAGCTCAGTTTGTTGAGAGTAAGAGAAGAGAAAACAAGTCTGCCTAAAATCACTGTCATCTTGCATCTGTTCGATTTCCAAAAACTAAAAGTCAAAGTCATCAAACCACATAACACTTTGTTAATGTTATGAGCGCCAAATAAACAATTATTGACCACTTTTCTCTAGTATAGCTTAACACCTTCAACCTTATTTCACGGCACGTTTAGATTAAATGTCGAGTAATAATATGCACGTCAATGAAGCACAACCTTACCTGCCACATTAACATCAAATGTACGAGTTACAGTGCCTGCCTTGCTTGAAGCTTCACATTTGTAGGTTCCCCTGTCTTCGGAAGTAACATCTGAAATTACCAAAGAGAACTTGCCATCCTTTTCGTCCATCCTTACTCGGCTGGTTTTTCTCAACTTTTTGTCATCTTTGTACCACTCCACAGTTGGCGCAGGCTTCCCTTTAATACCTACCATTAAGCGTACCTCATCTCCTTCCATAACGTTAAATGGAGCACTTTGTTCTTCATTCGTGAACTCTGGTGTTATCATTTGTTCTTTGACGGCAAGAGCAGCTTTACAACTTGCCTGTCCCTCCTCGTTAGCAGCTATGCATTTGTATGTTCCTGCATCTTCAAGAACAGTGTCCTCGATGATCAATGTGTAGATGCCTGCCTCTTCGTCATCCATCACGACGAAACGACCATCGTCTTCCAGTTTGTTTTTGCCATGGAACCAATCCACCACTGGAATTGGATTTCCTTCCACAGTGGCATCAAACCGTGCTGCTTCTCCTTCAATGACATTAATGGGCTTCAATTTTTGTGTAAACTCTGGTTTCTTGTACGGTTCGTTAACTAAAAGTTCCGACGCGCAGGAAACAGATCCAAATTCATTCTTGGCAAAGCATTTGTAAGCGCCCTCATCCTCAAGTTCAGTTTCTAAGATCTTCAAAGTACACAATTCGCCATCAAAACGGATCTTGACCCTCTTGTCTTCCGTCAGCGGTTCGCTGTCTCTGAACCACTCGATAGTTGGTTCTGGTGTGCCAGTCACTCTACACTGTAGCTTAGCGGGTGACCCTTGCACTACCTCTACTGGCAGTAGGGACTCTATGAACACTGGTGCAATACCTTCTGGCGGCGCGGCTAAAGTAAACAATGAAAAACCAAATCTGAGTGCAATAGCAGCTCTAAGCTAATTATTTAAAATTGAGTGCAAATCTTGTTCTTGACATACGTAAGAAAAGTAGAAGACGCGTCATGTCGCCCCGAACGCCACTAGTAACGCACTCCTTAAGAGGCTTACGTTTGAAATAGGGGTTCGTTCGCTTTATGTCAAAAACCGCCATCAGGAGTCTTTTCACATGTAAGCCCCAATACATCGTCAGAAAAGTATGTTATGGCGTTTCATATGCTATTCTCATGCCATTGAAATGCTTTTCCAGAGCAAATTTCTCATGCCTATGAAATTTTCACGTACAATAACAGCGCAAACCGTATAAAGACTGCCTGTGCCATAACGACCACTGAAGTGCTAGTAGATACGTCTGTACTCGTCTAAAATCTAACAGGAAGTCACGCACCTTTTATGTTGACATCATACGTTTTTTCCACTTTACCACCCTTGCTCTTTGCCTGACACTTATATACCCCAGAGTCCTTTGGTTTGGCCTCCAGAATAACAAGAGAGTGTTCGCTATCTTTGGCATCTATCTTCACACGGCTTGTTTCACGCAGTTTCTCGTCATCCTTGTACCAGACGACTGTGGGAACAGGCTTCCCTTTCACGATCGCACTAAGACAAACAACATCACCCTCTCCTATGTTCAATGGAGCAGCTTCTGGTTCAACATCTATTTCAGGCTTAGTGATGGCTTCCTTCACTGCCAAGGCAGCTTTACATGATACCTGGCCTTCCTCATTCATAGCTATACATTTGTATGTCCCAGCATCCTCTATGAGCGTGTCATTGATTCTAAGTGTGTAAGTATCACTGTCTTCGTCGTCAATGATTTTAATTCGCCCTTCGTCCTCCAATTTTTCCTTTCCTTTAAACCAGTCTATAACAGGAGGGGGATTACCAGCCACTTTAACAGAAAATTTTGCAGGTTCTCCTTCAGTGACATCAACCGGCTTCATTTTTTCTTCAAACTCAGGTTTAGCGTTTGGTTCGTTAACAAGGAGTTCAGCGGAACAGGAGGCTGAGCCAAGGTCGTTTTCAGCCACGCACTTGTATTCACCTTCGTCATCCAATTCTGCATTCTGGATTTCTAAAGTGGCTTGCTCTCCATCATATCGAGTTTTGTATCTTTTCACGTCTGCCACAGTGACGCCATCTTTGAACCAAGCTATGTTAGGCTCTGGACTACCTGCGACCATGCACATCAGAGTGGCTTCACTTCCTTCTATGACCTCAACTGTCTGCAATGGCTGTGAGAAGTTAGGGGCTTCTCCTCGTGGTTTATCTATGCAATATATAAATGAACTCCAGTTTTCATCTATCATTAAATTTCGGCAAATGTTAAAAACATATTTCAGTTTATAAAGTACCCCTCGATTCAACTTAATCACTACCATCACCATTCTAATCAAGGTCATTATTATTGTAACTATCTTTGTAATTGTCGTAAAAAAAATATAATTTCTTGTCATTATCGTCCGTTGTATCTATTAGAAGCTTAGTGGTTGCGATTGGGAGAGATTTTAATCAACACACTAGTTTGTTCGAGTAAACTCCTTGCACTCGAAGCGGGAATACATGTAACTACTCCATTGGACACCTCAAAATGCATACAACTAATATAAGGGGTTCATCCTTTAATTCCAATGCGGCACTGAGTCTGAATCAACTCATAAGAGAGTCAGATGAATGATTTATCCAGCTTGATCCAACTCATTATGGTAAGTATATACACATTTTAAGTCCTCGACAATGTTAACTTTTATACCTTCAACTTTGTCATAAAGAGATTTTTCCTCCACTTCCTTTTCAAGCACAATCAACTTAGCTTCACATGACGTTTGACCAGCCTTGTTGGAAGCAACGCACTTGTAGTTACCAGCATCTCCTGATTCGCTGCCTTCAATAACCAATGTGAACAGATCTTCTTCAATGGCATCAATGTGCACAAATCGTCCTTTATCTTTAACCTCAATTGACTCCCAGTGCCACACAACTTGGGGTTCTGGAACGCCAGAAACTCTAACATCAAATCGGGCCTCTTCCCCAGCATTAACTACAACATCATCCATATTCTTTATAAACACTGGTGCGGCAATATCTCTTACAGGTCTTGCTTGCACGTCGGAAGTACTTACTGTCTGTTCTACTGTAGGTTCTGATCCTGAATGAAAAAGAACGCACTTTACAAACATTGACGTCCAGAGCTATAACAATAAATACCATCTTCTCATGAGGAAAATTTAGAAAGATGGGACTTAGAAAAATTTGGGTAGAAGAAAAGCACGATGCAGTCCTTCGAGACAATTACAGAAACTTCCTACAGCGGTTGCTGTATTTCATTTTGATCACAATTTATCTGTCCCGTATCGAACAAAAAGCACTCTCTTAGTAAACGATATCAATCAGTGTTTCCCCAGGAGGATTTTATTTAGGAATGTATATTACATAAACCAAATCAATAACCTCGCTATCTAATCAAAAACTGTCAAAATAATTTAAGATCAAATTACCTTCTATATTAAGAAGAAACTTTTTGGTAATTGTCCCTATTACACTGGTTGCAACACACTTGTATGTACCCGAGTCTGCTGGGGTCACGTGAAGAACCATTAGCTTAGAGTGCTCAGGGTCCTGTGAGATCTCAAGTTGAGAATTAGACATGATTGGCTCTTCGTCCTTGAACCATGCAATAACTGGTGAGGGCAGCCGGCCGGTATTGACAACCATAGACACATTGTCCCCTTGAGAGCCTTCCATAGGCACCTAGCAGTAACATAATTTTTCGGTTAAGCATGACTCGTGGATACGAAATAAAACTTCAAATGGTAAACGGAGCATGAGCAAATCCCCTGCCACCATAGAGGTTATGACAGAGGACTGGATAAGGAACATTAAAAAAAAAAAAACAATACCCCAGTAGGATGCTAAGGACAGTCGCCCAGAGGCGGAGAAGGGGGAGGGGGTTAAGAGGACTGCAGACTGCTCTCAGTGTACCATTTCTTTTCACAAGTCATAGGTGGCTAGATGAGTTGACGGTTTGATTCATTTCCAAGCCTGTTGTACCATCTGCTTTTACTTCAAGCAAAATATAATGTGATAAATATGAAGAAAACTAATAAACATGACACCTATGAAGGAACTGTATATAAATTCAAGCACTAACCTCTTCCATTTCATCTTTGAACTCTGCTGGGACCTGAGTACGAGTAACATTCAGGCTACACTCACAATTGGCAGTTCCAGCCTCACTCATTGCCACGACCTTGTAAGTCCCAGAATCACCAACTTCACAATCCTCGATTACCAGACAAAACAGCTCTTCGTCATTGTCATCAGCATCGTCAACAATGATCACACGTCCCTCGTCTTGCAACTGACTCCCATTCTTGAACCATTCCACTACTGGTTCAGGGTTACCTGTGATGCGAACCTCAAATTTAACCACATCACCCTCACTGGCATCAAGGTTCTTCAGCGGTTCCTTAATCAGTGGCATACTAACACCTTCCTCCACTATCAGCTCAGTCTGACACACAGTTTTGCCAAACTCGTTTTGCGCAACACATTTGTAGTATCCTTCATCGTCTAATTCTGTGCAGGAGATGACAACTGCACAAACATGACTCTCGTTTTTAATGGTGATGCGATCGTCCTCCTCCAAAGGTTCGTCATCTTTGAACCAGGAAACTTCTGCCTCTAGTCCTATTCGACACTCAAGCCGTGTTGAGTCACCCTCAAGAACCTCAATCTCCTCTGGTAAACGTGAGATAAACTGAGGAGCTTTGTCTGGGTCAAAAAAAACACACCAAGTCAAAGATCGCTTACTTGAAATGGATTTGAACATGGAGAAAGAGGCACCTAAAGCACCGAGGTTAGAGTTCACGCTCACGTTTGTAGAAGCCAACTAAAATTGCTTCCTTCAGTTCAAGTTTCTTATATTGCTCTGGAGTAACATTTCTAGGCCGATTTGCTCTGCCCCACTTCTGTGGGAAAATAAAGCCTATTTCCTTTTTGTTCCATTTCATATATTTTTTTCAGAAGTTGCACGTTGTTGAGTGCGTCATTACAACGGTCAAGGTAAGAATTTACAGCAACGATAGTTACAAAGATAAAAGACTATACGTAACAGTAAAACAAACAGTGCAACTTAAACGTTAGACTCTATTTGATAAGCCATTTCTAAAATTACCAACATCACATACCACTAGATCCTGTATCTACACATTCCACAGCATCACTCTTTTCTGTAAATAACGAAGTAAGCAAGTTGAAAACTACAAACAAGTCCTTTCAGTCTTAGCAAAAACATCATAAGCTAAAAACACTATAGTACCTTGAACCAGGATTTGTGCCTCACACTGATCTTGTCCTGCAGGATTCTTCACTACACACTTGTATATGGCCTCGTCGTCAATTTCAACTTGGTTCACTCTGAGCAGATGAATCTCGTCGTCTGAGAGTAATTTGCAGCGATCGTCTGGTTCTATCTTTTCGTCGTCTCTGTACCACGTGACTGTGATAGGTTTGGAGCCAATCACTTTGATTTGCAGTTCAAGCTTGTCTCCCTCCACAATGTCCTCATCAGAAAATTTTTGAACCAGAACAGGCTTTCTGAGTCTGATTGAAAACATTACGAACATTCATTTTGAAATAAAATGCTATTAGGATCCTGAACGTTGTAAACAATTTGAAATAGTTTCAGCTGACAAAGAAATGCCTCTGTTAAGCAGAGGATATCAAAATTTCTCCCAACTTCCCATGAGGTCCTGGTCTCCTTAAGTCTATGATAAAATGTAAACATTTGACGATAAAAACTTGCGACAAAACGTTGCTTGATAACATTGTAAAATTTAAAAACGATAAAAAGCTATAGAAAGCTAAAATCGAGGACGTTTCAACGCTAACATAAGGTCATTATCAAGTCAAGAATGTATAAAAATAAGTTCTAAAAAGACTAAAAACGAACAATAAGAGAAAAAAATTTGCGGGTTAAACAAAAAGTTTAGCCCGTATGGAGTCCGTTTGCACGTTCAGATTAGGTTATAATCTGAACGTGCAAACGGACTCCATACGTGATAAACATTTTGGTTAACCCGCAAACTATTTTCTCTTATTGTTCGTTTTTAGTATTTATAGAACTTATTTTTATACATTCTTGACTTGATAATGACGTTATGTTAACGTCGAAACGTCGTCGATTTTAGCTTTCTATAGATTTTTATCGTTTTAAATTTTACAATGTTATCAAGCAACGTTTTGTCGCACGTTTTTATCTTCAAATGTCATTCCAAGTCACTTCTTCTACGAAAATGTAAACAGTACGTAAAACTACTTACATCACTTTCTCATCGTCACTTGGTTCTGAAATGAAAGAGAAGGTTTTCAATAAAATCATCGGGTAATGTAAAACGTACAAAAATTAAACTTAACTTCAAACAACACTCGTACGGTATCGACACTAAATTAGGAGGTTATTAATGTTCAGCTCCAAGAAACAGTTCATCTCAAGTACTGCAAACGATCCTATTGAGGTACGTCATCTGTGTGCAGGTTTCCAAGTCAAATTACATCGTGAAGTACAAAGTACTTCTTTATTTGAGTTTGCGTAATTCACAAACCTTCAACTATTAGTTCAGCAGAAGAATTCAGTTCCCAAGTCCCACTCTTAACTGAACACTTGTAAAGTCCCTCATCTTCACCGACGGTCTTTTTAATAACCAGCTTACTGCTTTGTTCATCTGTTATAATTTTGACTCTCTTGTTCGGTTCTACAGGCTTCATTCCCTTGGACCATGACACAGTTGGTTTGACTAGACTCACAAAACAAATCTCCAAAGCCGCTGGTTCTCCTTCATCAACTTCGACATCTTGCAGTTCCTTTGTGATTTGAACTTCAAGGGATTCCTCTGTTTTTGGTTCTCTTGCTTCTGTAAATTTAGTTAAAAGCCACTCTACTGAACTTTTTTCAACTGTAAAAAATAACTTCGGGAGCAGCAAGAGATCTGATGTGTTGTAATGAGCTTTAACTTGCAATACGCCTAATAAATGTTTGAAAACGTTACATTGAAAGCATCGTTACATGCGAAATACCATTGACCACTTTCATAAATGGCTGCCGAATTAATATTCTTTTGTTTAAATTTAAATTAGCCTTTCTGGCCTTGCTTGAGATGATGTAATGTAATAATGTAATAATGTAATAATGTAATAATGTAATGTAATATAATAATGTATTCTCTTGAATTTTGTACTGGAGAAAACGAGGCCAGAAAGGCTAATTTCAATTTAAACAAAAAAATATTAATCTGGCGGCCATTTATGAAAGTGGTCTATGACAATAAAAATTAACAGTAGGAAATATAAATGGTTCATATAAAGATCTCAAAACCAACTAAGTTAGTTAACTGATGTGTTCTCAAATTATATCAATTTTGCTGAGGATTTTTACACCATATGGTGTCGCCTGGGTCCAGATTTTGAACGGGCGGATAACGCCATCCAACGTACTCATTATCCAATAGATATAGGGTTGTAGCGTTATTCATCCTTCGAAACCGGAGGGCTGGTCTCTACCAGTCTACAAAAATTACCTTCTACGAGCAATTCCACTTCACAGATAGCTTTCCCTGCCTCACTTTTTGCCACACATTTGTACATTCCTTCATCATCCACCTCTGCCTCATGTATAATAAGCTCATATTTATCTCCATCAGAACGAATAGAAATCTTGTCACTTGGTTGTACTGGCTCGTCATCTACAAACCACGTAACTTCAGGCACAGGCTGCCCAATCACCCTGACCTTGAGGACCACTCTGGCACCTTCATTTACCTTTAAGTCATTAGGAACATCAATAAAGTCAGGCAGAATAGGTTCATCCGCACCTGGCACGCTCAGTTGGACTGGCTCGTATTCCAAGGCTGAAATAGTGTCAGGTATCAGAGGAACATCTCCTTGTCCAGGTAAAACAAGCTAAAAAAGATAAAAGAAAAGCTAGACACACTTATTACAATCTTCTTTATTCATAACAGCATACAAAACCCCAAAACATTGAAACAATACATTGATTGCATTTTGAGCCAGGTTCAGAGACTCAGGACAGTTACAACTTGAACTGCTTATTTTACCCCTCTTGTATTTGACTGATAGTCTCTGTGCGGGAAGAGAATTTTGGGATACCTGAACAGCCTCAAATGAAGGTCTATTTTGTGGAAACTCTTTCTCTGACACTTCACGTTTCTCCTTGTAAGATGAAGGAAGGTTCTCCTCTTTAACAGGCAGTGCAACCTCTGCAGGTCCAAACGGTACTGAACTTACTGGTAAACTTAGTTCCACTGTTACTAAGCTTTCTGGAGGCTCCACTTCATCTTCATCGTCTCCTACAGAAGAAAAGAAGAGTACACAAGAGTGACTAATTAATAACTGGCCCTACGTCAACCTGGGTCAATGAAGCACGCGTCAACTTCAGAGAACACAAAGTATGTTGGAGACTTGCCGGAAGTGCAGCTGTGAGCAACTCGAGTAACTCAAGCTGTTCAAACGTCTTAAGTGCTCGCACTACGATAAACGCACAGCTGACACATGAAATTATAATTTAAATCAAATTTTCATCGCGCTTGTTTAAGGATGTACCCTCCACGCGTTCAAACATTTCATTAGCCTGCACAGTGGAAATATCAAGCAAGCCTGTCCAATGAATTTACTGGTAATTTTTAAAATGAAATGAGAAGAATGCCGTCCCAAACATCAACATGTACAGGCTTACTTAGTATTCTGGGCATAAAAATTCAAATTCCTCTCAGAAAATCTGATTTATCCCTTTTCTCACACTCCCAAAAGAGAATGTCACCTTTCATTGCGACGAAAAGCCTCAAGGCAAACACGTACCTGTAACTAGTAACTCTGCCTCAGAGATTGCTTTACCAAATGAATTTGAAGCCACGCACTTGTACAGACCTTCATAATTCGACTTAGCAGAATTGATGACGAGCGCACAGCCATCAGCGTCGTCAAATTCAATTCTGAAGTTGCCACCTTCTTCTATTGGTTGTTCATCTTTAAACCACTCAACTTCGGGCTCTGGCTCACCTGATATGCGGACGTCAAGCTTTGCGGCACTACCTTCAAACACTTCCTGGGACTTCAAGGGCTGGATGAACTTGGGAGACTCACCCTCAGGTTGTTTTGCTGTTAAAGCAATTAGCTTACCCGTTAGAGTAGTTAGTTTACCAACAAAGTGGTTTCTCGTGCTTACTCTGCGATATCTTTTATCACAAAAAAACTCGAGGAGTATGACCCATCGCAATTGATAAGATGGACTTCTATTAAAGTACTTTACACTTAAAATAAAAGTTTGAAATTTCGATAATAGAAAATAAATTACTACTCCAAACAAGTCACACGAAACGATGGTGACAACTCCAACCTCTCACTCAGAAAATTTAAAGGAAAACCTAACATTTATTTTTTGGTAATTCTTTGCGGCTGAAACACGTCTGCAATCTTCTTACTCCAATAATCAATCATCCTCTGGAAAAAATTGTTTTAGACTATGACACTGACCTTCTATATTAACATCGAAGTTTCTTGTTATTGTCCCAGACGGGCTGGTAGCTCTACACTGGTACGCCCCGGAGTCTTCTGGTATTGCAGCGACAATAGTCAGAGACTGCTTATCTCCTTGCACCTCAGTCTTGTACTTGCTACTGCTTCGACTAATTGGTTGGTCGTCTTTGTACCACTTAATGGAGGGCTTTGGCTTCCCAATTACTTCAACTTGCAGTGTAACATCGCCTCCTTCATCAATCAACATCGGAGTTCCACTGTCTTGGTCTGAAAATTGGGGAGGGATTAACTTTTCCTTAACTGTCAACCCAGCCGAACACACAGCCTTTCCAAATACGTTGGATGCAACACATTTGTATCTTCCTTTGTCTTTAGTCACACAGTTACTAATAGTAAGCGTGTGGCAACCATCTTCGGTAGACTCTGTAGCAAATCGCCCATCTGTTAAAATCTCCCGTTCAGACGAGCACCACTGAACGTCAGGTTGCGGAAGGCCTTGAACCTTTACGCTGAAGACAGCACTATCACCTTCAAATGTGCTGACATCTTTCAACTTCTCTAAAAATTCTGGTTTACTCTGATCTTCAAGATCATCGACTTCATTAACTAGAAGTTCCAAAGTACAGATTGCTGATCCAATCTCGTTCTGTACTTTGCACTGATACTCTCCTTCGTCATCTAGCTCAGTGCTTCGAAAGTGAAGTGAGGTAAACACTCCATCACAATCAACGGTGACACGCTCGCTTGTCTCGACAGGGCTCTCATCTATCAGCCAAGTAACTTCTGGATATGGTTTTCCTTTGATCTCACAGTTTAGTTTGACTGCACTTCCTTCCAGTACTTCCACAGGAGTGGTAACTGCTGTGACCTCCGGTGCGACGCCATCTGAAGAATCTTTTCCTTCAAGGTAAATTACAATGAGATTTAAGTTGAGAGCTTAGAGGTATAAATGGGACAATGTCTGATATTTATTATCCACACCCAATTCACGGTCTCATTACGCAATTCTATCAAAACCTCGCCTCAACAAGGACTATAATTAAGTGAAAACACGGTTTAACAAAATGAGAAAGGGACAAACAAGCAAACACAGTTTGTGCGAATATTTCAGTAAAAGAAAACAACAAATTACAACTGGAACGGCCAAGAGAAAGTATGATTGCGAAGCTACCAAACAGCGAGAACCGATACAGTATTCGTTTCGTGTTCGCAATGAGGAGCAAAACCCCTTTTCACAATTTTTAATCAACTGGCTTTTTTTCTATGCATATCAAATTTGCAAGTATTACCTTTAATGGTGAGCTTGAAGGTGCTGGTGCTCTCATCTTTGGTATCAAACTTGTAAATTCCAGAGTCCTCTGGGGAGGCATTTCTTATTGTTAGAGTATGGATGCCTTGTTTAGCATCAATATCATAGTGGGTACTCTGTCTCACAGGTTCATCATCCTTAAGCCAAGTAACTATGGGAAGTTGGGCGCTGGTCAAAGCCTTCAGTGTTACATCTTGGCCCTCTATGAAATCCACTGGAATCTCAGCAAAACCTGGACTTTTGTGTGGAACTGATGGAGGGGTGACTAAAAGTTGAGCACTACACGAATCTTTGCCAGCTTCGTTCATAGCTATACATTTGTACAGACCGGCATCGAATGGTTCACACTTTTCAATTACAAGCGAGAAGAGTTCTGGCTGATCATCATCCACATCATCAATTATCATAATACGGCCCTCATCTTCAAGCTGCACACCATCTTTAAACCATTCCACGACTGGTTCTGGATTTCCAATAACACGGATATCAAAGCAAACATTTTCGCCTTCTGTCATACTTGTGTTTTTCAGCGGCGCTTTAAAAATTGGTAATGCCATTCCTTCGTCCACAATCACTTCAGCAGAGCTTGACACGACACCTTGGTCATTCTCTATCTGACAAAGATAGTCCCCTTCATCATCTAGAGTTGAGCGATGGATTGTCAAGGCACAAACTACACCATCGAACGAGGTGGTTAATCGCTCACAGTCAGTCAGAACAACATTGTCATGAAACCACTTCACGTGAGCGTCAGAAGCTCCAAAGACATGACACTCCAATGTGATTGGTTGTCCTCGAAGTACCTCTACCTCGACGAGTTCTTTGGTGATTTCTGGCAACGAAGTGATTGGCTTTGCACCTGTGACATGTATGTTGATCAACATTCATTTTACTTCAATTGATAAACAAAGCTTATTTCAGCAAATTAGTGGCTAAGAAAATAAAAGTAACTGTCCATCTGCTATAGAAGAATGCATTTTGTAATAATTACACAAAATCATTGCGTATTAAACATGTTTCATCAATAACTACAATCAGACAACTATAAAAAGCAGCTATAAGGCTCACTTGAACTGCAAATTAACCTCGTGGTTTCCCTTAGGCAAACAAACATCGATCGATGGATTCTAACGAGTTTATCTATTTGTAAATCAAACTCTACCAGGAATTCTAGATAATGGATTTGGGGGAAATTGGACAAATCAGGCAAATGAATAGTCAATGACAATTAATAATATTTTGATAGGAGAACTATCTGTGAGGGGAAGTTGATGATCAGAGGAGCATCATTCTCTGTCTACTGTTTGTCTACTGGCGAACAACGTGGCTAATCTGTATGAGAAAACCAGAATCGCGGCTAAAGTAAGGCCAGTTAAAGGGATCCCAGTTATAAATTAGGGTAACTCTTATCAGCCAACAAAAAAAACTGAGATATGTGAAAACTAGAGAAAATCAAGAAGAATAGAAAAGAAACCTCTCACTTTATAACCTCAAGATTAAGAGCTACCTTTAATCTCAACATTGAAAGCACGTGTACCAACTCCAGCTTCATTTGTAGCAGTAAGAGTGTACGTTCCTTTGTCATAAACACTTGGATTGGAAATCAGTATGGTGTGAAGGTCATCTTTTGAAGTAATAGCAATATGCTCGCTGTTTTGTAGAAGAATATCATCCTTATCCCACTCAACTTGTGGTGTGGGACTACCCTGAACTCTTGCTGCAAGCTTAACATCTCCATTGACAGTCAGTTGAAATGGAACAACACTGTCATCTTCAACAAAGGAAGGCCTTTCCAGTTCCGATGGTTGTTCTGGATGAACGTTCTCCTCCGGTTCACAATCAACTGTAAAAGTTTTCCACGAGGCGCCAGCGTTATTAGAAGCCGTGCATTTGCATACACCTTTGTCCTCCTGAGTGGCACCTTTAATAACAAGCTTCTGCACTCCATCTTCTGAGTCGATCTGAAAATGGCTACTTTCCCGTAAGACTTTTCCATTCTTTGTCCACTCTGCGTCTGGATTTCCACTAAACATAACCTCCAATTTAACATCACCATCCTCCGAAACCCTTACTGGTGCCTCTTGCTCTGTCTGTTTCACAATTGTTGGAGGTATTACTGTTTCGTCTACACCTACCTGGCCTCTTCTGCCTACTTCAGGCTCCACACCACCAATCTCTAGAGCGTATGCTCTGGTCGACTTTCCAGCGGGGTTAGTTGCCGTGCACGTGTAATTCCCTTCGTCTTCTGGCGAAGCTCCTTTGATTAAAAGTCTGTGGGTGCCTTCTGATGAAAATAATTTAACATGTCCATTCTCCGAAATGGCTTGACCGTCTTTTCTCCACTCAACGCTTGGTGTGGGGTTTCCCGCTACTTTAACTTCCATGGTCACATCGCCATTATCTGATATTATAAAGGGGTTTGCTGTATGTTCTTCAAATGAAGGCATAACCCAGTCTTCATAGCCTTCTATGTTCACTTCAAAACTTCTCGTGGTAGTTCCAGTAGTATTTGATGCTAGACAGACATAAGTTCCTTTATCTCTTGGCGTGGGTCCACGGATCACTAACGTATGTATATCAGTATCACCGTTCCATAGGAACTTGTTAGTTTCCACCAGGGGCTTGTCATCTTTCAGCCACTTTACGTCCGGGAGAGGTTTACCACTCACTCTCACTTTCAGAGTGACATCTTCATCTGCATTCACTTCAAAAGGACTGAGACCTTCCGGCAAGGCAATGAAGTGAGGAGGTTCAAGATCAATTTCTGTGGTCTCTCTTGAAGCTGTAAGCTCCTTGTTCGTGCGTCGAGGTCTATCCTCGGTTGCATCTTGTTCTCCCGATGTTACTACAACCTTTGGCTCCGCGAATAAGCTCGAAGGTGTGGCTGACTCTGCATTAACTGAGATTTCAAAAGGCACCTCAACGGTGGGTTCACTTCTCTTTCCGAGTGGAATAACACTTAGTCTTGCCTCGTGTGACTCCTCTCCAATTTCATTAAAAGCGACACACTTGTATGTGCCAGCATCCTCAACAAAAGTCTCCCCAATAGTTAGGGAAAACTTCCCCTTGTCGAGATCGTCTTTTATAACAAATCTCCCTTTATCTTCAATTGCCCTTTCATCTTTAAACCAATCAACTTCAGGTGCTGGAGTTCCTCCGATAATAGCACTAAACGTTGTATGTTGACCTTCTGATACAGTTTGATTGCGTGGCTTCTTTTTGAAAAAAGGAGGACTATGACTTTCACTGAGATCTTCCTCCACTAGCAGTTCGCAATATGTTGATGCAATGCCAAACGCATTTCTGGCAACACACTTGTAATCTGCTTCATCATCTAGCTCTGTGCGTAACAAGATTAAGCGGCAGTTTTTCCCATCGAATTCGGTACGAACACGTGTCGTCTGCCTAACTCGAGAATCGCCTTTAATCCACTCGATGGATATTTCAGGAGAACCAACAACTTCGCATTCCAAAGTTACTGGAGAGTTCTCAATGGCAGTTGGTGACTCCAAATATTTTGTAAACGCGGGTGCAGTTCCATGCGGCTTTGAGGCTATACAATAAAAAAGGTATTGTTTCTTCACGTTTACGTCAGAGGAGACCGTCTGTATCACGTAGCTCGTCTGCGAGACGTCATGACAGAGGCACGAACGAGGTATGATCATCGGAATCAAAAGTGTTAGAAGAGTTGGAGAAAGCTAGTTAACCTACACAAAAGACCAACTTCAACATAGCCATAGCTCGTCCACAGATAATAAATGAGGAGGAAACACTGCAGCAAGGCAGTATGTATAAAGTACAGTTAGCAGAATAGTAAGCATTAGTTGAGGTGATGAATGTGTCCTTCATTGATAAAAATTCGGTTGAGATCATTATTATTGTGATAGTGTACCACTAATTCCTATTTCAATAACTGCCTTCTGTTTGCTTTGAATTGCCAGATTACTTAGAAATGTATTACAGCGTGCAAGCGGAGCAATGTTTGAGTAATATAATGATCCTTTTAACCTTTGATATATGTATTGTGTGATGCACTTCGATAATTACATAGCTTTAGTTTATTCCTCAGATGGTTACAACTAAAAGCCACCTTGAAGCCAAATTTGAGAAGCGTGCTAAGGGAAGAAGATTAAAAGCAGTAGCTAAGAAATGCTGGGCTGGATAATTAATGCCAAGGTTAAGAAGTATTTTACAACATTTAACTCCATTCTATTTGCAGTTACGTTGACAAGGTATACCTTCAGTGGTCTACCACTGCTCTTACAAAGTTACACAGAGAACCTTACATGTAAATCAATCGATATCATTTAAATAAGCAGCCCCTTGAATATCCGAGGAAGAGCGTTCTCGGCATCCTGATTGCAGCTCACTATGTTAGCTAGCCAAAGTCTAATTACTTTATAGCAACCTAGTGCAAGCTTCTCTGAAATTTAACTTCGAAAAAAAGAGCACCTTTTTAAAAAAATAGGTCAAGTCATAAGCACCCCTTCAGAGCAATATGATTGGTCAATATTCTATGTATTGTCAGACTCGTAATGATTAGAAATATATCTGTTCTCATACGCTTCTGCCATCATTAGTTAGAGAAATGCATATAAAATACACAACTTAATCTTAGGATAACATAGCACATTGAAAAATCTGTGCCACATGTACACAGAAACTGCTACAAAAGATAAACATTGAAAAAAACATCCTTACCTTTAATATTGACGTGAAAAGTCCTTGTGGACGTTCCTGAAGTATTATGTGCGATGCACTTATAAGCTCCAGAATCAGCAGGGCCAGCACTGGAAACAGTCAATGTATGTTTATCATCTTTAGCTTTGATGTCAAAATGGTTGCTGTTCTTTAGAGATGTATCATCTTTGACCCACTCTACGGTTGGTGTAGGCTTGCCACTCACCGTTACCTCTAGCACAACGTCACCTCCAGCTTCAATGAAATTTGGAAAAGAGGGCCCATCTGTAAACACTGGAGGGGATGGTTTTTCTGTAACAGTGAGCTCACTAGTACAGGACATTTGTCCTGCTTCATTTGAAGCGATACAGCGGTATGTTCCAGCATCAGATAATAAGCAATTAGACAACTCCAAGGAATGCATGTTATCATCGGAGAGAAATTCATACCGTGATTCCCCCTCCAAAGGCTCGTCATTCTTCAGCCATTTCACATCTGGCTGAGGCGTGCCAGACACTCGAACGTTAAATCGTGCCAAGTCACCTTCAAATAACTCAATACTCGCCATTTTCTTGACAAATTCAGGAGCAACAACTGCCTCGTCAACAACAAGTTCGATAGAACAAGAAACCCTCCCCACCTGGTTGGTAGCTGAGCACGTGAACTCTCCATCGTCCGTTTGTTTTGCTCCTTTCACAGTAAGAGCAGATCGATTTCCGTCGAACTCCAGATCAAAGCGGTGGCTGTCTCGTACAAGTTTTCCATCTTTAAACCACTCAATTTCGGGTTCTGGTAGACCAGAAACAATTGCCTCAAATCTGGCCTCACTTCCCTCGACAATGCGTGCTCCTTCAGGTCGGACAACAAATTCTGGGGCGTGCATCTCCTTCTCGACTTCCAGTTTAGCAGAGCAATTATCAGTGCCTCCACTATTAGAAGCAGTACAGGTGTATTTCCCTCCATCTGAAAGCCTGCAGTGAGTTATTTGCAATGTATGAATGCGGCCCTCGGTGTCTATTTGAATACGATCATTTGAAACAACAGCTCTCCCATCTTTCAGCCACTTCAAAGCTGGTCTGGGTCTCCCACTGACTTCAACCTCCAAGTCAACATCACCTCCCTCAACAACTTTGTTGTCTTCGAGGCGCTGGAGAAACCTAGGAGGAATGACGTTTTCTCTCACCGTCAGCTGTCCTTCGCACGACACTTGGCCCGCCTCATTTACCGCCGTACAACGATAGGTGCCCTGATCCTTTGATATGGCACCATAGATGAGATAAGCATAAGTTCCTCTCTCTCCATTCTCAACAAATTCAGTTCTTGACGTTACTTCCTCGATCAAAACGCCATTCTTGTACCAATCAATATCAGGTTCCGTACCTTGCACACGAACTTCCAGACGCACATCAGTATTTTCAGTTACGTCAACATTTCTCAGTGCGTCCAAGAAAGAGGGCTTTTTTATCTTCTCTGCGACAGAGAGTTTCCCGATAGATGACACCATTCCAAATTTGTTTGTGGCTGTGACTGTATACTCTCCATCATCGTCTGGAAGAACATCCATCAAAATAAGTTTGTAAATGTCACCTTCACATTCCATAAGGGTTTCCTCGTTTTCTTCTATTTTCCCACCACTGCTGGACCACTCAATATCAGGTATAGGGTCGCTCGTAATGTGCGCTTCAAAACGTGCTGTATCTCCCTCTGATACATTAAGATCTTTTAACCCTTTCACGATTTGTGGTGGTAATGGCGATTCTGCCTCCTTTGGAACCCCGAGCACACCTTCAAGGGGTACTTCACGTTCCACAACCACATTATTTGATGGTGATATATCTTCAGTTTCTTGGCAAGCATTTCCTTGATCAACCAAAAGCTCCACTTGACATGACGCTTCTCCAGCTTCATTGACAGCAACACATTTATAGATTCCTTGGTCTTCAAGAGTCACAGAACTGACTGTCAATTTACCAGTTGGCGAGGAAACAGTACGACCAGTTGTGGGAATCTCTTGACCCTCTTCACGAAACCAGTTAATGGTGGGCGTTGGCGTTCCTTCAACTTTCACCTCGAAGGAAACAACGTCGCCCACCAAAACATTTGTATTTTGAGGTTTCTGCAAGAAGGTTGGGGGTTTCCCGTGAGGTCTTCCTGGTTTAACAATGAGGGGTGCAACACTCCGAACAAAACCAACTTCATTCCTTGCTTGACACGCGAATTCTCCTGAATCACCAAGAACAGTTTTATGAATATTCAGTTTGTGGACGTTTTCAGTTCTATGTGGTCCGTATTTTTCACTAGGTTCAATAAGAACATTGTTTCTAAACCATGCAATGTCTGGTTCCGGATTCCCTTGAATCTTCACTTCAAATTGTGCATTGTGACCCTCCACAACTTCGATAGGCTTTAGTTCTTTAAGAAATTCAGGTTTGACAGCTATCTCATCCACAAAAAGTTCAGCTGTACATTCTACTATTCCGTGAGAATTCTTGGCAACACACTTGTACTCAGCCTCGTCGTCCAATACTGTTCCATCGATAACCAAGGCATACTTATTTCCCTCTTGGACTACATGTGTATGCTCATCTTCTTCTACAAGGTCACTTTCAACAAACCACTGCACAACTGGTCTAGGTGAGCCATCAACTATTACTTCCAATCGGACTGCATCTCCCTCAGTGACATGAAAAGTTGACAGTTCCTTCATGAAGAGAGGCGCTTTACCACTGGGCCTTTTTTCTGCCGGGGGAGGCACAGCCTCCACAATCTGTTGAATGCTAGTTAGGACTGTTTCTTTACCTTCATCAACCACTTTCAGGTGTGCACTTGTCACTGCTTTGCCTGCTATATTAGATATGATGCATTTGTACTGTCCAGAGTCATTTGGTGCTATGTCTTCAAGTACTAGCAAAGATGAACCTGGTTCTGTCTCAATGTCCATACCTTCGTCGTCTTCAGAAACCTCCTCATCATCCAAATACCACTTGACTTTTGGCTCTGGACTACCAATGTACTTGACAGAAAATTCAACGGTGTTACCAGAATCTGCTGTAGAGTCATAGAGTTTCTTCGTAAATCTTGGTGGTACAGTATCCTCTGCAACAACCAGCACTGCTTCACAAGAGGCTGTCCCGAACTTGTTCCTTGCTTTGCATGCATAAGTACCACCATCGTCATCTCTACAATTTGTAATTAGAAATGTATGTGTATTTCCTCTTGTTTGGGTATCAAAGCGCGGCCCAGATTTTAAAAGCTTCGTGTCCTTAAGCCATTCTACAAATGGTGTTGGTTTCCCATGAACCCTAACTTCCAAACAAACTGAATCACCGTCTGATACTTCAGTATTTTGCAGAGCTTTGGTAAACTCCGGAGCACTCCCATCACCATTTACTGTCACTGTGGCAGAGGTGATGTCCTCTCCAGCAGTATTTGTTGCAGCGCATGTGTAAATTCCTTCGTCATCCATGTCCGTCTTGAGAATGTTTAATACGCAGATGTTGTCAGATGATACTTTCATTTTTACCCTATTACTTTCGTTAACTAATTGTTGGTCCTTGAACCAACTTATATTGGGATCTGGTTTTCCAACCACTGAGCACTTAAGCTTGATTAGTTCTCCCTCAGACACCTCGACACTTTCTAGCTGTGACGTAAATTTGGCAGGTATTTGTAAAGGTGATATGTATAAATGCGCACATGATTCAGCATTCCCAGCCTCGCTACTGGCTTTACAAGTATAGTCACCTGCGTCTTCTAGTGTACCATACATAAGAATCAAAGCAGATGTGTCTTCATCGTGAATAATTTCCAAATGCTTGTCTTGTTTAACCGGCTCTCCGTCTTTAAACCAGGTTACCTCAGGCTCTGGCATTCCTGTAACTTTCACATCGAAACGAGTGCAAGAGCCTTCCACAATATGCACATCCTTTAAAAGTTTAACAAAAGCAGGAGGGCTTGTTGGAGTGACTTGCTTCACGGTTAGTTTACAGGATTTTGTGACTACACCAGCACTGTTCTTAGCTCGGCATATATAGTTTCCTTGATCACTGCATCTCGCATCCTTGATTTCTAGGCTACAGATGTCATTTTCTCTGGTTGCATGGAAGCGCCTGTGAGGATAAATTGTGATTGGTTGATCATCTTTGTACCAAATCACTTCAGGTGGAGGTGTGCCAGTTACAAAGATCTGCATTTCTACAGAGTCCCCTTCCTCAATTGTTTTGTCTGTTAGTTCTGTGGTGAATTCAGGGGGAATAGACCTTCGACGAGATGTTGGCCTACTCTCTGTCATCAAATGGATGTCAGAAGCACTTATATCACCGGGTTTGGGAAGTTGAACCTCAAGGGGTGCAAATTCAGTTCCATCTTGCCCATGAACAGTTAATGTCACTGACTGGGGTGGTTGATTTTGATTTCTGTGAGAGTGCAAAATAACGGATTCTTAAAATTAATGTCTTTAAATAATTTTTAAAATAGTGTCTAAGATATTATACTAAAGTGTTCAGTATCAAACTCACCTTTACTGAATTCTCTGTTTTTTAATTGTACACCTCTATCTAATCATATTCTTAGCTCACTACCTTGACTGGCCTGAATATTTCACAAAATCGTCTTCAGCATTAAACTACTAAAAGTGTATTATAGTACAGTACAGATGTAGTTTGGTCCATGCCTGATAAGAAAATAGAGATAGATTTTGAATGGTTTGCCCTTTTGCAAATTGAAAAGGCCCAAGTTTTGACAAAATTACCGATTCCACTGTTTACTCGTGTACATTACTGGAACTGGATTGAGAATAATTTTGTAGAGAAAATCGTAATAATACTCTTACATTGCTAAATTAGAGCTGTCAGTTTCATCATTCACGTCAAGTTCGCCCTCTGATTCACCGGCTGTAAAAAATCATTTTTAAACATTTAAACAATGTGTCAGCTTTCAATAAAATATTTTTAAAAAGACCACGACAACAATCACATGACACAGCCAAGACTCCCCCTACATTACTTTAAAACAATACAAATGCGTTAATACATCATGTCAAAATCAAAATTAACCGATTCAATTCCAATGGACGCGTCACTTCAGAATTAGTTAATAGCAGAAACGTTTAGGAAACTATGCATTAGTAATTAGTTGTCAAGGCCTTATACTTGACTGGCAGCGAAGCAACTTGCTTTTGTGTTTTGATCATCATCATCATCATCATCATCGCCATCATCATCATAATAATAATAATAATAAACGAATATTTAAACAGAATATTAAAAAAAAAAAAAACTTTGTCGACCAAACTCCAGTTTTATTTTCGGAAGTTCAACTGATAAAAATCAGTTCCTCGTGTGAAAATCGTCATCTGTCCTTGTAAAATAGTTTTTAAAAGGCATACATACATTACCAAGCAAGCAATCAAAAACCTGCAGACAGACTTTCCGTTTCAAATAAGTGTCAGTTGATGGAATACTAATGTACATATTTTCCAGTCCTTCTTACATTCAACATTTAGGTCTGCCGTGGAAGTTGCTGATCCTGCTACGTTTTTGGCGCGGCATGTATAGACTCCCTCATCCTCAATATCAACTTCAGAAATTTTTAAGCTGTACAAATTGCCATCCTTCTCGGTATGGATGCGCTCTCCAGATCTGACGGGAAGGTCGTCTTTAAGCCATACCACTTGAGGCTCTGGAGTACCAGTAACGCGAACCTCCAGCTGTGTTGGCTGGCCCTCAGCTGCCTTAAGATTTTCCAAGGGCAAGGTAAATGCTGGAGCAACTGGAGCTATGAAAATGAAGAGCATATATAAATATAAGCTTTAGACCAAACAGGAAACAACTATGGTGAGACGGGAAACAGCTGAGATTTGGGCCACGTGGCAGGTAAAAAGAAAATAATAGAAAGCAAGACTGATTTAAAACCGGTCGACTTTTATGTCATCTTCAAACAAGGAGGCATACCTTTTTGACCCGCAAATGGACATGATTACTCATAATTTGGATATATCAACAAAGTTGAAATGGTAAATTGGCCACCGTAACGATTACAAAAGCTGATGTTTCGAGCGTTAGCCCTTCGTCGGAGCGAAGGGTTAACGCTCGAAACGTCAGCTTTTGTAATCGTTACTGTGGCCAATTTACCATTTCAACTTTGTTGATATATCCAAATTAT